CTTTTCAATAAATTGTTAGCCATTATGGCACATTTCTTTTCCATACAAATTTTGCAATATTATTTGTCATATTTTGTGAAAATTCTTCTGGGACATTGCTTGTGGTTGATTTTCTGATTTGGGGCAACACTTGATTTCTTTAGAAAATCATGTTTCCTCCATTAATACTTATCTTTGGCTTTGCCGACATCACATGGCTTTTCTCCTGATTTCCCAACAAAATGATTTACATAAATATGTATTTTATGAAGTTGAATTCACTCTCTAATTCCTCTGCTATAGTTGAATTCTCATCCTGAGTGTAGGATTAGGTTGAAGGGAGGGAAGGTGAGCTGACCAGCATCCAGGCTCCCCCAGGTGGCCAGCAAGCAAAGGTCAATGACCTTGGAATGTGAGAATTTGGGTTCCTGTAAAATACTGGACTTCAGGCATTCAGGCCAGAAAGATTTCAAGGAAGCAGGAATTTGGTAGACATACACTTTGTCTATTCATTTTGGCTGTTTGTGTGTATATTGCCTCTGGGACTTGACTGGGTTCTTAACATTAGGAAACACTGAGGAATGACACCTGCAACCTGCATGAAAAGAATCCATTCTTCCAGAAAGACATAAAGGATATAAACTGCTGTCTTCCAAAAATGATATGGCAGCTTTTGAACTCTCTGTGAGGTGAAACAAAATAGATCAGTCAGCTACCCACAGAAGAAGGAGAGAGAGAGAGAAGAGAGAGAGAGGGAGGAGAGAGGAGAGAGAGAGAGAGAGAGAGAGAGAGAGGTGCAGATATCATGCATAAAGTGTGAGAAGGGGGAATGGTCAAAATACATTGTGTATCTTGAAATTTTGAACACCAAGTACAAGACTAAATAAATAGATTTTCTGAAACAAAGAAGTCCATTCACATACAGATTCTCTTCTCTAAAGTTTATGGCTTCAGATGCTTCTCTCTTTGATCTTTGCTGAGGCTTGAACCCAGGGTATCATGCATGCTAGGTAAGTGCTCCCACACTGAGTTAAACACCCAGCAGTGGCAGATGTCATTTTCAATAAAGTAAACCCTCAGATATAGTTTCAAT